TTTTTTTTTCAACGTTTATTTATTTTTGGGACAGAGAGAGACAGAGCATGAACGGGCGAGGGGCAGAGAGAGAGGAAGACACAGAATCGGAATATCTTGTTAAATTTTTAAAGAACCAGGATTTTGATTTATTAATTAGAGCTACTGTTTTTCTGATGTCTTCTTATCAATTTTCACTTTTATCTTCGCTTCTTTTAGTTTTCTTTCATTTACTTTGCTTTTTTCTACTTTGCTTTCTTTTGCAGTTGGTAATTTAATATATTTATTTTCATACTTTATTTTTAATTGATAAATATGTTTAAGGTTCTGAATTTTATTCTGGTCTGTGCTTTAAATGTGTAACATATATTCTAATACGTAGTGTTTTATTATTTTAGAAATTAGGTAATTTCAGTTTATATTTTTTCTTTTACCTAAGAGTTGTTTAATAGAAGGTTTTTAAAAAATGTTTCCAGACAGAGGGGCTTCTTTGTTTTTGGTTTTCTTATTTCTAGTTTTATTATACTCAGAGGGTGGTTTATGATATTTCTACTTGTAGAGCTTAATGATGTTTTCTTTGTGGCCTAATATATGATTAAATTTTTGTGAATGCTCCATTTGTGTGCTTGAGAAGAAGGTATATTCTATATTAACAAGGTGTAAAGTTCTATATGCATATCCATAAAATTTACTTCATTGATTATGTTGTTTACTTTTTCTGTCTCATTTTTGCCACGATCTTATATTGAGAGTAGTGTATTAAAGTCTCTGTTAGTGTTTTCTATTTTTCTTCGCATTTGATGTTTACGTATATTTAATTCTCTTTGTAGTTGAATACCTTCATCCTTGTATGGGTGACTGCTGTGTTTTTTGGTACATGGATATCCAGAAGTATTGTATCTTCATTGTGAAGTATGGCTTTTAGCATTATGAGTGTCCTTTTTCACATTTAATACCTGGGGCTTCAGTTCTACTTTGATATCAGGAGTGAAATCTCTGCCTTCCTGCTTCTAATTACCTGGTTCATCTTTGCTCATCCTTTTATTTTAGCGTTTCTAAATTGTTGGGTGCTAGGTGTGTCTTTTATTTTCAGCATAGAGTTGGGTCTTGCCTTGTTAGCCAGTTTGAGAATCTTTTTTTCTTTAATTAGTAAAGTAAGCTTGTAATATTTATTAACATGGTTGATGTGTTTGATGTCAACTTTGTCATATTATTTTATAGTACTATGGTGTTATACTGTAATTACGGTTTTCTTTCTCTATGTGATGTTTTCTCTGTTCTCTTAAAAATTTCTGTTGGTGTCTAGGATGTTGGTAATTTTGTTCTGGTTGGTTGCCTTTATATCTACCTTTTATAGAGGGTTTCAGTCCCCTATTTTCTTTAATCTTTTGTTGTCTGGTGTGTTGGCATTAAGTGGTATTTTGACTTCTACCTGCTTCCTGTACAATAAATAAGTTATTCTGTATTCTCATTCTTTCCCTTTTCTCTCAGGCCTTCTCCTCTTTTAGCTGCGTATTTTTTGCTTTGACAGAACATAAAACATTATTCTTCCCTGTGTATTGCCATTTTGGTTTTAGTTTTGGAGCTACAATTAAATATAGTAAATGGTCATCATTGGTCTTTTTTTGATGTTTCCCTAGTTAACTCTTGGTTGGATCTGTCAGGGCTCATGCTATAGCATTTGTGAATATAGTATTCCTTGAGTTCTTGAAAGGCTTAAAAGTTTGAGGGACAGCTTGGCCAGATAGAAAATCTTTGATTGATGCAGTGTTTCTTTAAATTTCCCCATTTTCTTGAAAATGTTCCTCCATTCTTAGTTTGCTTTGAATGTTGCTTTGACAAGTCTGATGCTAGAATAATGTTCTTGCCCTTATAAATAATTTGGCATTTTTATGTAGGTACTTAATTTCCTTTATATTTAAATTTTGTTTCTTCTGTCTTTAAAATTTAATATTGCTAAGCTGTGTCTTTGGCTTACCTTTCCAGGTCAGTTTTTCCAACACAGCTGCCCCTGTTGTGTATAGATTCAGTTCTTTTCTTTTCTTAGGATTTATCCTGAAGGTTGGACTTAGAGCTAATACTGTCTTACAGAGAACTCTTTCTGATGCTTTGATAACTAGCCCCCTTTGAATGGATTGCATTATAGGCCTTTTGCTAAATATGTTTCGTAGCAACTAATGTGCAATGTGCATAATTTGCTTGAAGGCAACTCCCTTAGGTTGACATTTGTGGAGCCACTAAATAAGATTTCCCTTTTCCTCTTTTTTTTTTTAATAACAGTTTTATTGATTTATAGTTCACATACCATACAATCCACCCACATAAAGTATAACCAATGATTTTTAGTATATGCAGAATTGTGCAACCTATAGTCAATTTTAGAACATTTTCATTACCCTAGAGAAACCCTATATTCTTTAATAGTCAAACCCCATTTCCTCCCAAGCCCTTTAGCCCTGTCTGATCTATCAGATTAATCTATTTCCTATCTCTATATATTTGCCTGTTCTGGACATTTCATATATATGGAATCATTCAATATGTGATCTTTTGTGTCTGGTGTCTTTTACTAAGCATGTTTTCAAGATTCATCCATGTTGTAGCATGTATCTTCGCTTCATTCCTTTTTATGGCTATGTAATACTCCATTGTGTGGTTGTAGTACGTTTTACTTTTCCACTCATCAGTTGGTGGACATTTGGTGTTTCCACTTTTTTGTCTCCTACCTCTTCTAAGCCTCTGTCCAACTGAGAAAAAGACAAAGGAATCAGGTGATTGGAGATAAAATATCAGCCTTATCAGTACTAAAGATGATTATAGCAAAAGGCTTAGTGCTCTAACTCCCTGTACTGCAAGCTCTTCCATTCCTTCCCCTGCTCCCAGAGACTCAGGGCAGAGTCTGCTCCAGTCCCTTCAGTTCAGCGATGAGCGGAGGCTATGTTCTGAGGACAGCCTTCACAGGAGAGAGAAAATAGAAAAGACCAAGCCATGTATTTTCTCTGGGAAAGAGGGAGGAGGATGGGGCCCATATCACCGAAGTCCAGAAAGGGCAAATCGCTCCTGTGATTAGGAGCCATGTAGGTAGGAAACTGGGAGGAAGATGGAATGATTTCTTCTAACACTAAGAAGACTGGCATTTTAGTCATCTGTCTTATAAGTTGAAGAAAATGTATTTTTTCTTTGATTATGAAGTATTAAAAGCTCCATCAATCAAATATGTAAGCAGTTGAACAGTTTAAATGACAGCATTTATTAATTCTAATGTAGCTTGTTGTCTCATAATTTATAGGTTTCTCCACCAACTAAAGGAAGATAATTCTGACTTAATTAAAAAATTGTGGACTGATATTCAGCAGAAAATAACAGCACAGTCACAAGTAACAACCCTTCCAGAAACTCCATCATCTGCTCCTCCATCAGGGGAACAAAACGGTTTGCTCCCCCATTGTCTTACTTCTCCCAGAACAGTGACTTGTTTTAGTATGTTCTTTTTTAAACATAGCAATTTTTAAAGCAATGGTATTTAGTCTTGACTGTCTTTACCTAATTGAATAAGATACTGATAGATCTGTTCATTGGAATGCTTAAAACTTTTTTGTTGTTCACTGGAGATTCTTTTGGAAATACTTTTTCTTTTAGCTGCTCTGAATGCTACCAATGCTGTCAAGAGAATCCACACCAGGCTTCAATCTGAAGAATCTACTGAGACTCTAGACTCAAGCTATGTTGTGGGACAAGTGCTGAACTCAAGGAAGCAAAAACAGTTGTTAAATAAAGGTTCAATCCCTTGATTTGCCAAGATGAATTAGTAAACACATAACTTGATACAACTTCTTTAATCTCTTAGTAAAGTTTTTCCCCTTAAACTCATCCAATCAGAGCCAACTGATTAAGACTTTGTTGAATGGTGGCTAAGAAATGTTCTATGCCATGTAACTCTGTAGAAAGATAGTTTTAGTGTGTTTGTTATACACAGTGTAAACCTGTATGGATTTTTATGAACAAATGGTTATAACTTCTATAAAAACCTTTTATAGGGGCGCCTGGGTAGCTCAGTTGGTTAAGTGTCCAACTCTTGATCTCGGCTCAGGTCATGATCTCACGGTTTCATGAGGTCAGGCCCCACGTTGGGCTCTGTGCTGACAGCATAGAGCCTGCTTGGAATTCTCTCTCTCTCCTCTTTCTCTCTGCCTCTCCCTGACTTGCACTGTCTCTTTCTCTCAAAATAAATAAACATTAAAAATTTTTTGTTTATAAATTGTGAATAACAGTCAAAGGTTTCTCTAGTAGCTTTCTGGTATAATTTTTCTTGGTCTTATAATAGAATGACTTCTCTCATTATCAGTGAAAGGAAAACTGGATTCTCATGCTCCTTCCAAGCAGAAAAAGAGCATACTAACAGCTAGCACAGCCTCCACAGACTTACCAAATAGCAATAATTCCAGCCTGGATGTCCTCAAACACATGATAAATGAAGTGGAACATGAAATGGAAGAATATGAACGGTGTACAGGACGTGAGGTCAAGGGACTGCAAAGTAGTCAGGGTCTCACAGGCTTCACTCTGTCTCTGGTGGGCTCCCTCTGTCGCCTGGTTCGGTACCTTAAAGAGGTAAGAGCAAGAAGTTATTAGAGTCTCCTCTTCAGAGTGCGGGTAGATATGCTTAGAGTTGTTTTTTTTGTTTTTTTGTTTTTTTTTGTTTTTGCTCTACCCTTAATTTATTGCAGTCTCCAAATGAAATATAGTCAAATCTGAATAGCTTTATTTAAAATATCTCAGCATGGGGCGCCTGGGTGACTCAGTCGGTTAAGTGTCAACTTCGGCTCAGGTCATGATCTCGCAGTTCGTGGGTTCGAGCTCCGTGTCGGGCTCTGTGCTGACAGCTCAGAGCCTGGAGCCTGCTTCAGATTCTGTGTCTCCCTCTCTCTCTGCCCCTTCCCTACTTGTGTTCTCTCTCTCTCTCAAAAATAAATCTTAAAAAAATTAAAAAAAAATAAATAATAAAATACCTCAACTTTAGATTATCTGCAGTGAACTTTTATCCTCTTAATTTTCCTCTGCATGCTGATTTATGTATCACCCAATATACTGATACATGGTCAGCTAAGTGATGTTGATTTTAATATGAGCTTTAGTAAAATATAATTAGAGGGGTTAATCTGCTATAAATAAGATCATGTCTTATGCTGATATTGAATATTATTGTTTGGCAGTATTAGATTCAGTAGAACTACTCAACGTGTCCTCCTTCTGATGCTTTTTCTGCTTCCTACTCCCACTTTAGTTGAGTTTGGAGAGCGGCATACCTGTAATCTATAGACACAGATGGGGAAAGTTCTTCATGTTATCTGTGTGACTAACTCAGGCTTTGCATTAGTGTCTGATGTGGGAGATATTTTGTTGTTGTGAAAATAATTTATAAAACTAGCAGGAATTGTTTTTTAGTTCATTTGTGAATAATCAGTCTTCAGAATGCTGTGGAATTAGAGTTGGGTAAACATTTCATCTTTCAAAAAATCTATTTAAACTATTATTTTTTTATACATTTAAATTTGTTAAATACAACAAAAAATGTTCAAGGACATTTTATTATTAAAATTGTTGATTCATTGCTCTAATTCAAAATTTTTTTAATGTTTATCCATTTTTTTGAGAGAGAGCACAAGTGGAGGAGGGGCAGAGAGAGAGGGAGACACAGAATCTGAAGCAGGCCCCAGGTTCTGAGCTGTTAGCAAAGAGCCTGACGTGGGGCTCAAACTCATGAACCATGAGATCATGACCTGGCCGAAGTTGGATACTCAACCGACTGAGCCACCCAGGCGCCCCAGTCTCTCTAATTCAGATGTTCCAATTTCTCTGGAGATGTCCTCCTAAAATTTGCTTTTTAGTGAAATATTTATTGTATGGTCAGACTTAGGAAAGTCTTCACATTCTTCCACCCTTAAGTTAGGAATCTCTAGGAGTGTACTTTTGGCTCTCTGAAAGTATTACAGGTTTAGAAGCATATACTTTTTAGCTAATCACTTGCTTTATGAAGTTAAACCATTTAAGCCTGTCATTTATTTTTAATTTTCTTTTAACAAACTTAATTTTTGAATTGGTGATGCACTCATACAGTATGAAATTCAGAGAAACAGAGATAGATAAAAATTCTAATTCTCACCTTTTTTTTTTTTAATGCTTATTTATTTTTGAGAGAGAGCGAGTGTACACACAAGAGGGGGAGGGACAGACAGGGAGACACAGAATCTGAAGCAGGCTCCAGGCTCTGAGCTGTCAGCACAGAGCCCCTCGCAGGGCTCAGACCCACAAGCAGTGAGATCATGACCTGAGTCAAAGTCGGATGCTTAACCGACTGAGCCACATAGGCGCCCCCTACTTCCCATCCTTAACTTCCATTTTACCGGTCTGCTTCCTCGGCGCCAGCTCTGACGACCAGGTGTGAGTGTGTCCTTCTAGAGATGCTCTGTGTGTATTCAACCAATATGTATATGTACTTCCCCCTCCACTTCATTCTGCAAAAGTTGTAGTCATTTAATTCTGCATACCATTGTGTTTATTGTGTTCTATTTAAGGAAGGGAAAAGGATACAGTATTTCATTTTAATGAAATATAAACCTTTTAATAAAAATATTTCATTCTCATTACTGTCACATATACTCTAAGTATTTTTTTGACAGCTTTGAGTAGAAACTTTTAGTTTTCAGTACTTGATGCTGTTGATAGTAATTTAGTTTTGGATGGGAGTTGTATTGATGGAAGTGGATTTTTTTTTTTGTAGAGTGAGCTCCAGCTGCGTAAAGAAGTGGAGACAAGGCAGCAACTGGAACAAATGTTAGGTGATCATCGAGAGCTCATTGATGCTCTTACAGCTGAAATTCTTCTTCTCAGAGAAGAAAATACCGCAACCCAGGTACTTAGATGCAATCAAGCTTTTCTGTGTTTAGTATCATAAAACGTCTAAGGATATATAAGATTCTCCACTGGGTGTTGTATGGAAACCAATTTGCCAATACATTTCATAATAAAGAAAAAAAAGAATATATAAGATTCTCTTCTAGTTGCCTTTGGTTTTGTTATGCTGATGTGATTACCTCTCACTTCTTTATTATCATCAATGGTAGCTTTTATTGAACATTTATTACATTGGAGGTACTATAGTAGAAACTTGGACTTTAAATACATATAGAATAAATCTACTGTCTTTAAGAAACTTATTATTTAGTGGGGAAGACAGAATCTACATTTAAATGGTAACTACCAGTATTCTAGTAGTTGATCCAAAATGTGAAATAAAAAAATGTTATGATAGCTACTTTTAATTTCAAAACATCAGGGGATACCATTTGAGGAAGCTTGCTGTAATCATTTGCCATTTAAAATTGTTTACAGTATCTTCAAATTTATTATAGAAGTCCTCTTTGCCACTTGTCTGGATAATTGCTTTTTTTTTTTTTTTTTAAAACGCTTACACAGGGGGTGCCTGGGTGGCTCAGTTAGTGAAGCATCTGACTCTTGGCTCAGGTCGTGATCTCATAGTCGTGAGAATGAGCCCTGCATCAGGCTGTGCACTGACAGAGCAGAGCCTGCTTGGATTCTCTCTCTTCCTCTCTCTGTCCCTCCCCTGCTCATGCATGCTCTCTCTCTTTCTCAAAAACAAAACCAAAAAACTGAAAATAAAAAAAACTTAAACAGTATTTCTTCTAGGAAATCTTACTGCCTCAATGCTATGTTCTTCATTTGTGCCTTTTGGATATTCTTTGGATATTGCTCTCCACTCTGTGTCTCTATAGGTTTGCCGAATGTGGATATTTCATATAAATGGAATCTTGCAATTTGTGATCTTTTGTGTCTGTGTTTTTTTTTCACTTAGCATAATGTTTTCAGGGCTTATCTATGTTGTAGCATGTTGTCAGTAGCTCATTACTTTTTTTGTCCACTAGTATTCCATTATGTGGATACACCACATTTTGCTTATCCATTCATCAAGTGATGGATTTTTGAATTGTTTCCACCTTTTTGTATATTATGAATGAATAATGCTGCTGTCAACATTCATGTACAAGTATTTGCGTGAACACAGGTTTTCAGTTCTCTTGGGAAAATGAATGGTTTTTAAATGTACTAACTGCCTCAACAAATCTTTATTGATTTGGGCCTGGCACTGGTCTAGGTGTAGGAAGTACAGTAGTGAACAAAGAAGAAATCTTTACCCTCGTGGAGTTTATATTCTAAATAAATCCTGGGGGAAAAAAAAGCGGAGTATATTGTAAGTTAGATGATGGTATGTGGTATAAAGAAGAATAAAGCAGGTAAGAGGCATAGCAAGTACCTAGGATGGGAATTGTAATTGGGTGGGCCATGCCTGTGAGGAAGGCCTGAAGGAGGTGAGGGAGCGAGTGTGCAGATAGCTAAGAGAAGAGCAGTCTCGGCAGAAGAACAGCAGGTGCAGAGGTCTTGAGGTGAGAGCGTGGCTGTTGAGCGCAAAAGCGTGAGGACCAGAATGTCTGGAGTCGAGTGTGGAAGAGTAGTAGGAGGCAAGAGCCAATAGATAAGCTGTGTCATGAGGGCTTGCAAACTGGGTAAGGATTTGGGTTTTTATGTTGGGTGAGAAGGGACACCACCGAAGGGTTTTGAGGAGAGAAGAGATGTGATTGAGGTTTTATGAGGATCACTGTGGGCGGCTGTGTGGAGACTAGATCAGAGATCACTGCCCTTTCTCGGTTCATGGTGCCCTTATTATCTCAAGATCCCCGTAGGCTGAAAGAAATACCCAACAGTTTCCTTTATTAAGTAGTTCGGCTCAAACTACTTAGTATTTATGTCTCAACAACTTAGATGCTGTTTGGAAAAAAACCCGCAAAATATCAAAGTATTGATAGAAAAAGTTTTATTTGTATTCATGATTAAATAACCACAATTATTTACTGATGGGATATGTCTACCTGCTGGGTACTGTACAGCTTCTCAAAGCTTGGAATCATTTTGGATATTGCCATTCTTATTTCCTATTCCACAGTAATTTTTATGCAGTGTTGCTTTTTATCATAGCAGCTACTGACAGCCCAGCTTCATGAAGATACGACATCATGAAAAGGAATGTATTTTGATCTAATATGGAAGCTGTGAACCACCTCAAGCTAGGAGTTCACTGGTGCCTGACAGATGTTGAGCAGCAGTGTTTTCCTTAAAAATATAAGATGTCCTGTGGTGCCCCTGTGGAGGCCCAAAGTGCTTCAAACCTTTTGGGGAACAGTATAGAACTAGACTCTAGGTGGTCAAACATGGAAGCAGAATGTTACAGACAGGAGTTAATGAAATAATCCAAGTGAGACATGGCAGCCTGGTCTAGGTTGGAACTGGGAGAGGCTGTGAAAAGGGACTAAATTGTGAATGTATTTGGAAGGCAAGCAGTAGGATTTGCTGATATGGGGCCAAGGAGAGGATGTGAGAGAAGAGTCAAGGATGATTCCAAAGCTATGGACTGAATATTTGGAAGGATAGAGGTGCTGTTGATGAGGTGGGGGTGTTCAGGGAGAATTTGGTTGTGCACATGTAAAGTTGGAGCCTATGTGAGTTCTAGGTGGAGATGCTGAGCAGGTCATTGGAGAGGAGTGTGGAATTTGGGAAAAAATTTGGGCTGGTATGAAATTGTTTAGTAGATTTCATTCACTAGTCCTACCAATAATACTTCTGACTTCTGGCCATCTCTGATTTTTATCAAATGTCTGTACCTCTTGGATATATATGTATATATCTATGTGTGTATAATATCTCTTCTCTCTGTATATATTTTCTCTTAACATTATTTTATATACATTACTATAAACATTTACAGGATCACGTTTTTTCAGTTTAAATGCCCGTATAATATTCTGTTAAATTTCCTCCACCTGATATACTTGCCTCTTGGGGTAGCTTGAGTCAGTTGATACCATCTATATAAAAGAGGTTTTATAAATCAAAAGCCCTATAAAAGGTTAATCCTTATTATTCTGGCAGTGTATTTATTAATATTCTGTGATACATTTAACCATTCTTCTATCATGAGACTTTTAAAATATTTATGATTACGTGTTCTTACAAAGGCACTATTTTAGTGTTTGAATGGAAGTTCAAAGTTCCTAGACTATTTAAGATAATGATATGATTATACATATCTAGGTGATGATTTGATGTCTGATATGTCAATGATGTTATTTAATTCTTTTTTCTCCAGGCAAGGCTTCAGCAGTACATGGTCACAACAGATGAGCAACTTATATCGCTCACACATGCCATGAAGAACTGTCCTGTGATAAAAAGCAATGAAGAAAATCAGGCATCAGAAAGGGGATCTACGAGTAGGAAAATTATAGACAGTCCAGGTGGGTGTGGTCTTATTACCCCAGGTTGGTATTAAAACACTGATAGAGTAAACAAGACTCTAAACTTACGTGGAGTTATTGGTTGTTGGTACATATGCAGCACTGTCACTACTTTGTCAGTATGGCAATGGCCACTAGTATTTTCAGCTAATATTTATTGGGTTATTGCTGTATGCCAGGCACTTTTTGAGTGTTCTACATGTATTATCTCATATACCCCTCATAATAGTCTTATGAGGTAAGTATCTTTGTTATCCCCATTTTCTCGATGAGAAAACCAAGGCTTAGAGAGAACTGGTAACTTAGCAAGATCATACAACTAGAAAGTAGCAGAACTTGCTTCCTATACCAGTGGGGCTTTCGTGCCAGCACTTTTCATCACTGTGCACCAGGCTCAGGAGGAGAGGAGATGGTCTTGGAAAGAAAAAGAAATACTGGGTTTTAGAAATTCTGATGTTTTGAAAACCTTTCTTCACTTTGTGTACCTTCATATGCCACAGGCTGAATAGGGCATTTAGGCCTTTTCATGTTTTTTGCTTCTAAGTAATATCTTGATGAGTGTCTTGTGTGGAGAGTGTTTTATGTATCGTAGGAGTGTTTTCTCATGAGGGATTCTAAGAAGTGGCTGAGTAAAATTTGATTTGTGTGAGATACACTCAATGGCTAGGGCAGGCCTCAAGGGCTAGGGGCCACCAGTGCTTTTCTCAAAAACGGCCTCTTCTTCCCGGTGCTGCCCCCTCACGAGTTACGGCTAAGGAGGATGTGGCCTAGAAAGGGAAGGCTCTAGAGTCCATGTGATTTTGCCTTTTATGGAAATGCATGTAAGCATAAACACCTGCAGTGTGTCCATGGTGTCTTTAAGTGCTAATGGCCTCTCATCTTCTTCAGAGGGCCCAGCTGTAAATGCTGATGTCTCTGTGCCGTTGGTGTTCCGAGGGGAAGAAGTGGCTGCATTGGCACAGGAAGACTTGCCTGTTAAACTGTCTCAGGTGCCAGCCCCACCGGGTAGTGCGAACGTGGCCACCAGTTTTCCGGCACATGTATTTGAGCCAGCTGTGTTGTTAACACCACCCAGGCAGAAGAGCAGCTCCGGATTCTCTCCCTTGCAGGAAGGTGAGCAGGCTTCTTCTAGAGTGGTGTGCCTGTTGCCTTTTTATGCCTTAAATATGTAACACTGTGTCCATTTTTACCTGATAAACTGAATTTTGAAAGCTGTTGATTGCCGCACATAATCTTTAAGCTGGAGGAGGATTTTTCAGGGTTGTTTATATCATGTGTGTTACATCAATGGTGAAATATCATGTTGAATTTCATTATGTATCTGTTCTGTTGGACATTGTAAATATTAAATCAGATCAAAGGATCAAAGTCCTCAGCATTAAAATGCCGAGTAAGGGAAATCCTCTTTTCCCTATGTTCCAGGAACACAGGAAAGGGTAAGAAACAGGAGGAGATTATCCTCCAGAGAGTAATGAAAGCTTAACCAAAGAAGGGTAAGAGCTGTGACTTTTAGGCATTTGTAATTCAGATGTGGTTAACATCTTTCTCATGGAAACTGTTTAGCTTATTAGTCAGTTGAGGTAATTTTATAATGAAAATTAAAAATAGCTTTAGAGCCACTTTTTGCAGGACATATATAGAGTTAAGAATAAAAACATTTAAATTTAAAATTAGGTCAGAGATTCTTCACTTGGGGGCTCATGGATGGTCTTTAGAAGTTCCATGGAATGCTTCATTGTTTGGAAAATTATATTTATTTTTCCACCTGTGCATTCTTCTAGAACTGTAGCTTTTTTCCCCCCATTTTTAGAACAGTTCTTTAATCAAAAAAGTACCTTAGACTCTTCTCCAGTGTTTTTAGAGAAATATTAATTCAGCCTTGATTTGCCTACATTTTTATTTCTTTAAAAAGAGTGTTTACATTCTTGAATAGGGGAACAGAATAGTAACTTTTTTTTTTTTTTATTTTGAGAGAGAGAGAGAGAGAGAAAGAGTGTGAGCATGAGCAGGGGAAGGCAGAGAGAGAGGATCTGTGCAGTGACAGTGCAGAGCCCAGCGTGGGGCTCAAACTCTTTGAACCATGAGATCATGACCTGAGCTGAAATCAAGTATGGCGTTTAACTGTCTTAACCACCCAGGCGCCCCCACAGTAATAGCTTTTGTGGTCACTGGGACTTACAAATTTTTTCAGATTTTCTGTACTTTTCAATAAAGGACAGGAAGAGGCCATAAAGGTTAAAGAAATGACAAATCCTTACCATTATAAAATTTGTCTTGGCCTTTAATATGTGATTGCAGAATCTGTCAGATCTGTGTGGCATAGGGAGACAGTGCTAGACTGAGAGTCAGAAGTGCTGAAGTCTTGGCCAACCCAATGACTAGCCGTGAGGCATGCATTTTCTGCATTTCATTTTCCTAGCTCTAAAATGAAAGATTTTTCTTTCATCTTTAATGTTCCTCGAGCTCTGTAATTCTGTGATTCAGTATTTCCTCTTCAGAGGCTAGAGAGTATTTTTTTTTTTTTTTTAATTTTTTTTTTCAACGTTTATTTATTTTTGGGACAGAGAGAGACAGAGCATGAACGGGGGAGGGGCAGAGAGAGAGGGAGACACAGAATCGGAAACAGGCTCCAGGCTCTGAGCCATCAGCCCAGAGCCTGACGCGGGGCTCGAACTCCCAGACCGCGAGATCGTGACCTGGCTGAAGTCGGATGCTTAACCGACTACGCCACCCAGGTGCCCCGAGGCTAGAGAGTATTAAGTCTGGTTAGATTTAGGAAATATGATTTCAATTCTGATTTCTGTTCAGGTTAGATTTTCATTCCTTAAAGTAATCTTTCAAATGTTTACATGGTATTAGTAAGCTTGTCTAATGATCTCTTTTGAGATATTCTAAATTATTTTCCATTGGTGATAGTAAAATAGCTTGAAATTCTTTTAAAGAAATGATGACGGTAAATACTTTTACTCTGATTACAAATAATACTAAATGTTTACTAAAGCAAATTATTTGGGGACTATTATAGACAACACTTTGTTAGCAGGTTTGCACTGAAAATAACACTATACATTTCTTTTACAGTGTGCAGATAGGATAACCTTTGAGTGTGTATTGTTAGTTGAAGTTTTATCATCATATTTTTCAGCATTTTGTTTAGAATGCTCACATGTAAAGAATTGTTCAGTTAAACTGAACATGTGGATAAAGGTAGGAGATACATAGGGCCCTTGATCAGCATTTAGTTGTGCTCTAGAACAACTCTGCCTGATAGAACATCCTGTAGTGATGAAAATGTTCTATGTCTTTTCCATTCAGTATGGTAGCCACTAGCCTCAGGGGACTGTTGAGCACTGGAAATGTGGCTAATATTACTGAAGAACTGAATTAATAATTTTACTTAACTTTAATTAATTTGAATTTGTATTTGAATAGCTGCATATGCCCAGAGGCTATCATAATGGACAGGCTCACTCTAGAATTTCCTGTCATAGATATTTTCCTTTAGCTACTAATTGACTTCTACTTACAGCCACACTTTTTGAAAGAGTAGTATATTAAGCTGTTTTCATTTTCTTATCTCCCATTCGTTTTTTACTTTCAGATGTTAATTCTAATTTATATTTCCATGTGCTTAAAAAAAAAAGCACATACAAGGGTCTCTTCCTCTTTCATCTTTAGGCCTGTGCTAAGAGGGAATCATTTTTTTCCAATTTGATTTCTGCTTATCTTGTGGTGGTCTCCATAATTAATAAAAAATATTTTTATATTTCTTTGCTTAGATGTCAGCTTTACACAATAATTATAGACTCTCCTTTATTAAAGAAGAGGGTTTAAAAAATTTATTTTTTATTTTTTTATTTTATTCTTGAGAGAGACAGAGCGCCAGCAAGGGAGGGGCAGAGAGAGACAGGGAGACACAGAATCCAAAGCAGGCTCCAAGGGCTGAGCTGTCTGCACAGAGCCTGACTTGGGGCTCGATCTCACGGATGGTGAGATCATGACCTGAACTGAAGTCAGACGCTTAACCGACTGAGCCACCCAGGCGCCCCGTATTAAAGAAGAGGTTTTAATTAATATTAACCTACTTCTCTTCTCTAATTTGGAAGATTACATTTTAATTTTTAATTCTTCTGTTGTTTAACTTTGTGTTTTCAAATACTTTTTATTTCTTCTTGGTTCACTTTAGGCAGTATATCTCAGCTTTCTGCTATGTAAGACAAGGATCCTGGCTCCCCTTTCTGGCTCTCCTTTGCTTCTACTTCCCACCTTCAGTCAGCCTACCTTTCCTTTTACAGGATCACAGTTGGTAACATTTACGTTGTTCCATTACCACACTTACGTCTGCTGTGTCTTGTCTACAGATGGATACTGAAAGTTGAAAACAAATGACAATTATTTTTTGTTTTGTGATCCATTGTTACTATCAATCCTTGTGCCACAGGAAGGAAAAAGTTCTTCTGAAGATCAAAGTGAAATTTGTGTGTGTGTGTGTGAATTTCTTTATTTCACTTCATCTGTTGCTCAGAATCTTTAAGCTTGCTCTGCATTTATGGTGACTTTCTTGCTCAGTTTTTGTTTTGCCTGGAATTTCAAATTGCTCTTACCTCTTGTTTTCACAAGAATAATGTGCTTTACACGTGAATAATATCTTCTGGTCCTTTTACTGTCTATGGCATGGAATCCACTTTCATCTCAGGGATACTTTGCAAAAGCTCTTCATCCCCTGGTCTGGTCTTGACTGATTGCTCGCTGGGCCCACTGCACGCCTCTTATCTTGGAAATTGCTAACATTACACTCCTGGATTGAATCTACTATTTCCTGGATGCCATTTCTTCTTCTTCTTTGGTTTTCTCCCTCAAGTTTTTGAAAGAAATCATCAGAATGGGTATATAGAAGGTAAACCCTAAGTTCTTAAAAATTTGAGAATATTTTTACTTTTCTATTATACGTGGTTGATAATTTGTCTAGATACAGAATTCTAGGTTCATATTCGTTTCCCCCTGAGAAATCAAAGGCATTGTTCCATTGATTTTTAGTATCTGGTGTTGTGGTTGAGATGTCAGATGCAATATCTAATTTTTATTTCTTTGTATTTGACCTACTTTTTCTCTGTGGAAGCTTTAGGGTTCCTTTGTTGTAATTCTGACATTGCATAATGTGTGTCTAAATAATAGTTGTTTTTTTTTTTTTCTCATTGCACAAAGAGGCACCAGTGAGACCTTTTGGACTAAAGACACATAAATTTCTGAAGTTTTAGAAAACTGTATGTTGACCTTTTGGATTATTTTCTTATGTATTTAGCTTTATATCTTCCTTCTTATATTCTGGAGGATTTTTTTCATTTTGTGTTCAAACCTGTCTTTTAGATTTCTTTAATTCACCAAATTGTATGTTTAATTTCTAAGCAAGAGCCCTTATTGTCTAATCTGTTTTCATTGATGCTTATTACAACTGCATTGTCTTCTAGAAACTCTCTTCTGAGTAGACCATTTAGAATTTTGTTACATTATCTTCTGTACCTGGATTTTCCTTCTCTTCCTCTTAGTCTCTTGTTCTGTTTACCTATCCTGGTTTCTCTCTTTGTGCTGTCAGTTTTCCTCATATGTCTGGTGTTACTTCATGGCCCATGATAGTTAAGAATAAATGACATGACTGAATGTTATAGGTGGTTGGCATACATTTGCTCTTCTGTGTAGGTGAGTCTTGGTCTGTTTTCCCAGTAGGCTTTCCCTTCAGCAGTTACTTTGTATATGTGGACATGCTCTGTTAACTGCTGGCCTCCTTTTGGGGTATGCAATATGCAAGTAAGATCGAGCTGTTCTACTGGGGCTACCACATTTACTTTCCCCAATGCTGTTTTGTTGTTGTTGTTTGTTTGTTTGTTTTTTGTTTTTGCTTTCAAGGATGGGTGGGGGTAAGTAGTGAGCACAGCCTGACTGACGTAACTATACAGTAGACGAACTTCCAAGTTATTCTCCAGTTTTCAGTCCTACTTCTCACTTTCTCCCTCTGTACTGTCGTCTTTGAGCTAACAGCCTTTTTAGGGTTCCCCCAGAAAGACTGGCTTTTACCTGTAGCTTCCTTAGAATACATATATGTGTTCTGCACCGTGTCTTCTGCTCAATTTCATTCTTTCACATCCTTCTCATCTACTTTCAGTCTTTCAGAAATGTGTTGAAGTATCTCATTTGCTAATGACTCTCTTCCTAGACCATTATCTTTACTGATGTGGGTTTTACAATTTTTTAAATTTCATTTCCTTGTTGTCAGTGAAAGGAAGTGAGCCTATGATGTTGAACTAGGAGCATCTGTCTCCCCAGTTCACTCCCTATTAGGTCATTTCACCTAAACTACTCTTGCTAAGAGCTCTGGTGGCCTCCAGGTTAATAACTCCAGTGTATTTTTCTTCTGTCTTTGTGTTCTACTTCTTACAGTAGCATTATATATAATTAATATATAATCATACCACATTTGTTTCCTTCATACCACATTCCTATAATATTTCTCTCTCCTTTCTGGCTGCTCCATTTCAGTCTGCTTTGTTTGCTAGCTTCCCCTCCTTTTTTTTTTTTTTAATTTTTTTAATGTTTATTTATTTTTGAGACAGAGAGAGACAGAGCATGAATGGGGGAGGGTCAGAGAGAGAGGGAGACACAGAATCTGAAGCAGGGTCCAGGCTCTGAGCTGTCAGCACAGAGCCCGACACAGGGCTCGAACTCACGGACAGTGAGATCATGACCTGAGCTGAAGTTGGGCGCTTAACCGACTGAGCCACCCAGGCGCCCCCCCTCCTTTATGAAGCTCTAAACACTGACTTGCTTCTTTGTTGGTATTGGTTTCTTTTCTGACTCTATTCTTTTTCTCCAGATAATCTTGGCTTCTAATACTATGTATATGCCAGTGACTTCCAATTTTGTATCTTAGCCTAGATGAGTCTCTTGAGTTCCTGACCCATGAAGAATCCATCTGCTTGGATGGATATTGGGATAAATCATAAGGCACCTTAAACTTATCCTGTTCAAAATGGAATTCTTTTTTTTTAAATGTTTATTTTTGAGACAGAGAGACCAAGCGTGCATGAGTGGGGGAGGGGCAGAGTGAGAGGGGGACAGAGGATCCAAAGAATTGACAGCATGGAGCCCAATGTGGGACTCAAACTAACGAACCCTGAGATCGTGACCTGAGCCGAAGTCGGTTGCTTAACTGACTGAGCCACCCAGGTGCCCCCAAAATGGAATTCTTGGTAGCTTCCATTCCCCCAAATCTGTTGTTATCTTCTCCATCTCTAAATTGTATCACTACCCACTCAGCTGTGCATGCCATCTTGATCGGTGTTTCCTTTACTCCCCACTTCCAGTTCATCACTCTTAGTTATGTTGCTAAAATGTTTCTCAAATTTATTCACTTCTCCATCTTTGTAATCAACATACCTTCATCAGAGCTACTGTCATCTTTCTTCTAGACTACCATGGCTTACTGGTCTCCCTACTTCCATTCCTGGGCCTTCCAAATAACCACAGCATTTATGAAATATAAATTGAGTCGTTGCCAAACCTTCTCCAGGTTTCATTGCTCTTGGATTGAATTATAAAATTCCAGGGGCGCCTGGGTGGCTCAGTTGGTTAAGTGTCTGACTTCGGCTTAGTTCATGATCTCACGGTCATGGGTTTGAGCACTGCATCGGGCTCTGTGCTGACAGCTCAGAACCTGGAGCCTGCTTCAGATTCTGTGTCCACCTGTCTCTCTCTGCCCCTCCTCTGCCTATGCTCTGTCTCTCTGTCTCTCAAAAATAAATAAATGTTAAAAAAATTATAAAATTCCTAACATGGCTTAAGTTTCTGTATACCTCTCCAGGCTCATATTTTTCCAGTTCTCCCTTATTGCTGTGCTATGCTAAACTGGCCTCATTTCTTTGCTCTTTCCTATTTTGGGACCTTCACATATGTTGTTCTCTCTGCCTGTAATGTTTTCGCTCTGCTTTCTGCCACATACATAACCATTTAAAAATTTTACTTCTTCAGAGATGCCTTTCCTGACCATCCTCAGTTTACATTAGGTATTTATACTCTCCCTACCCCCAGGATTCCCTGGTATGAATTAATACATGTATTAAAATGTGAACTTGGCAGGTTTTTTTTTTTACAAGGATACTGACGAAGCCTTAAGGAATATGAAATTGTCTGTGATTTGATTGTTTAGAGGTGGCATTGCTGAAATATTCCCTGCTGAAATAATTCAGGCATTCAGAAGCCAAACCTGTCTACTGAAATACATCTCTAACTACCATGATGAGTAATGAAAAGATTATAGTGCGAATCTGTGGTTAAATGATGCATGTTTATTCTGATATTTTATCTACAGTATTGAGGAGGACTGTTCAAACTCGCCCTGCTCCACAAATTCCTCCAACTGTGGAAATAATTGAGAAGGAACAAAATTGGGAAAGGAAGACTTTACCTACTGGCACAGACAATCAGAATCCAAATGAAGAAAGTCACCTCTTCACTCAGAGGTGGAGGGTCTCTCACATGGGGGAAGATCTGGAGAACAAAGTCCAGGCTCCTTTTGTTAACCTCTCACAGCCCTTCTATAGTTCCCATTCACACACTCAGCAGGCCAGAAGCCCCGAGTTCTCAGAAGAGCCCCCGGTACTGGGAGAGGGGCAACAGCTTAGAGCAAATGAGGCGTTAATACAAAGAAAGGACATCATGGCCCGGATCGCAGAGTTGACACTGCAGAACTCAGCTATCAAAGCACATCTGAATAATATTATTGGGCCAGGAGGAGAGCAAGGGGATGGACTTCGGGAATTAAACAAACAAGAGACCAGTCATGCAAGCGACGTGGCTGCAGTGAGTACCAGTTAAGGATCGACTAGGAACATTTAGGAGTTTAACTATATTGCTGGAACATCTTAAGGGCCTCCTTTCCTGAAGTGATCCTGGATATCTTTGAGGCTGCTACTCGAAGGTTTATGCTTAGTCATGTCCTCATCACAGAGTAAGGAAAAGTTATTTATCAGTTTATTTAACACATACAGTAAAAGAGGATAATATAAAATAGAACACAAGGAAAATGAATGAGGAAAATAGGACAAGGTAAAATATGAAAGAAAGCCAAAATTAAACTGGGAATGAAGTTGTAAATATAAAATGTAGAATTAGTATGAATTGAAAGTCTGCCACACAGCTACATTTTAACTGAAAGCATTTCTGCTCTTAATTTTTTTTTTAATGTTTGTATATTTTTGAGAGAGAGAGAGAGAGAGAGATAGAGCATGAGCAGGGGAGGGGCAGAGAGAGAGAGGAAGGCGCATAATCCGAAGCAGGCTCCAGGCTCTGCGCTGTCAGCCCAGAGTCCAACACGGGGCTCCATCCCATGAACTGTGAGATCATTACCTGAGCTGAAGTCAGATGCTTAACCAACTGAGCCACCCAGGTACCCCAAAAGCATTTTTACTCTTAAAGGGGCTTATACAAGAGAATTATGTGTAGCTGGCCCTCAACTCATGAGGAGTTAATTTTTTAGGATGCAGAATACATTTTCCTAAAGAAATGATGTTTTAAAGGATTATTAAAGTGAGACTTTAATGTATGTATGAGTCATCTGGAGATTTTTCTAAAATGCAGTTTCTGATTAAATAGTTTTGAGATAGCACCTGTGCATTTCTAGTTAGTTCCCAGATAGTAGACTGAGGATTATACTTTGAATAACAAAAGTCTGCTTATTATAGTCCAGGAGTTTTGTAAGTTAAATAACTGTAGGCTAAGCTGGTAACTTAAAATCTTCATTTTCTTGTTTGTGGGGAGAAAAGGAATTCGAAGTTCCAACTGGTAAGTGTTTATACAGACATGTTCTCATGCTGGTCCTAGTGATGGGGGAGACTTCCTTTTATCCCTTCATGAGCCAAATTGGCTCCTGTGAGGGTTCTGATAGGGGATGGGATAGTGTTTTGGCAGTGGGAAGGAGCTGGGAAACTTTATGGATTAGGGGGGCTCCAGAGGGGATTGCTTCTATAAAGAGCTTTACCAATGTTAGATTCAGGGCTTCTATGAGGAAGTTCAGAAAGGGGCGGGGGAACAAGGGCCACTTCTGTCAGCGCTGGCTCCTGGGAGATAAGGGCAATGTGAGTACGGAGTCACTGAGTTATTACTCGGTCAGAAGGGACTAGCAGAAGAGGAGAAAAAAATTAGGAGTGAGCAGGACATCAGTGTAGATGTGTGTAAGTACAAATTGCCTTAATTTTGAGTCACTGAAGGTGTTTCTATGTTTACAGAGTTTTGACAGTTGTTCAAAACAGGTTAACTAAGTCTTGGTTTTAAAAAGGCAACAGAGTTAAAAATTGAATTTGCCTTATTTTCTAATTAGTATATAGATCGGGCTAGTGGACACAGTCTAATATTTTTGTTTTCACCACCTTCTTTGTCATAATCAGAATTACAAAATGATCTTTAAATTGTTTTGCTTATCTCTCTCTCTCTTTTTTTTTTTTTTTTTACTAATGGGCATAAGCTACAAATTAGTGATTTCTATTAGGAATTGTTTTTTTCCCAAAGGGACATATTTAACTAAATGAAATAAGAATGACACATATATTCCTCTTAGGAAGTTTCATACTAAACGTAGTTATATTCCACATGTATATGTATATGTATATGTATATGTATATGTATATGTATATGTATATGTATATGTATATGTATATGTGGTTTTTTTTCACTCTACCTCCCATATTCCTTCACAGTCATCACCTTTTTCAAATTAGATCTCTGAGGCCAAACGTGGCCTGGGGAGGCTGACCTGTGGTCAAGAAGAGCGATAAGATTCCTAGAAATCTTTGCCAAATAACTCATGGTACATGTATGAAGATTGGGGTGGCAGAATCATCTCTCAAGTACAGCAGATCCTCTTTTGTATGTTGCGATTCAAACTGCACATCTGTCATTATAATTATTTAGAAGCCAGGTCACTAGCAGTATTGTCTTTGCTCATGTGATCTTTTGTGCCCTTCAGCAAACGTGAAGAGATACAGGAAAGCTTTGCCTTACAGTACTCCCCATGGAGAGAGGGAGTAGAAGGTCTGTGTGGTACCAGTAACAGAAGGATTCGTATCCCTTTCCTTTAGCCCTAAGTTTTCTTTTTTTTTTGCCTTTTTTTTTTTAATGTCTATTTACCTTAGAGACAGAGAGAGAGAGCATGAGCAGGGGAGGGGCAGAGAGAGAGAGGAAGGCGCATAATCTGAAGCAGGCTCCAGGCTCTGAGATGTCAGCAAAGAGCCCGACTCTGGGCTCGAACTCACGAACCATGAAATCATGACCGGAGCTGAAGTCGGACACTTAACCGACTGAGCCACCCAGGTGCCCCAGCCCTAATTTTTCAATTAAATGACTTGTAGATTTTATTCTTTGCCTACTATTCAAGTTTACATATAGCAAGGGTGGTGAATACTAACTAGCTGGCTTTTAGTGGAAGAGTTTATGTTTACAAACAGTCAAAATTGTTTGGATTATTTCTGATATGGAATTTGTTCCTTTTTTTTTTTAAGACTTATCCAACAACACAGCCTTTCACACCAAGTAGCATGGAGGAACGGATTGCAGAATTGAATCGGCAGAGTATGGAGGCTCGTGGAAAACTCTTGCAGTTAATAGAGCAACAGAAACTTATTGGTTTGAATCTTTCTTCCCCACCAGTATCACCTATTCCATCACCTCTCAGAGCATGGACTGGTTGGTCACAAATTCATGATTTAAAAGCTAGACACATGAGAGTTTTCACTTTCTTGATTTTGAGCTGAAAGAAATCTCAGAGCATATATTTCAGTGCCTTCAATTTTACATAGAAAGAAATAGACCTGAGTCATGTCAATTTTACATAGAAAGAAAAAGACCTAAGTCTCTGGGTAGAAAGCTATTCCATGGTGCCTGTAGGTAATCTTTGGTGTCTGAGTTCCTAAGTTGCCCTATGTGTAAATGGGATTCATTAAAGTGTATGATTCACTTAGGATATTTGCTGTGGCTAAGTGTAGAACATAAGGATTGGGGTGCCTGGGTATGTCAGTCAATTAAGTGTCCGACTCAAGTTCAGCTCAGGTCATGATCCCACGGTCATGGGATTGAGCCCCATGTCAGGCTCCACACTGAGGGTGGAGCCTGCTTGAGATTTTTTGTCTCTCTTTCTCTCTGCTCCTCCCCGCCCTGCTTGTGCCCTTCCTCTCTCTAAAATAAATAAATAAATAAATAAAAACCAAAAACCTAAGCATCAAAATGATTTAGAGTTTCATCAGCAACAAATTACAAGTTATTTTGTTAAAACTAATTAAAACATTTTTATTTGTAAATTAAACTTTCCATTCTGTTATTACTTTTAGGAATGTGAAAAACCAGAGGGGGTTCTAAATAATAGAACAGCAACTAAAAAATTAGTTGTCATAATATTTACATTCAAAAAGGTACTGATGAAGTGGCTCTCAAGTTGTTCTTTAGGCAAAAACTGAATTACTAAGACCCTCAAGAGAGTCGAGCTGTGTGAAAGCTATAGAGAAACTAATTTTGGCTCAGGATAAAAGAAGGACAATCTTTATATCAGTAAGTGGTATTTTCCCTAAGGTGCTCAAGCATCGGTGTTTTAGAGGGATTCATATGTCCTGTGGTGGTTGAAGAAGGAAGGCTACCTTTAAGGTATCTGCCAATAAGACTTTTAGAAAATTTTTATTCCAGTGTAATCATCATACAGTGTTACATCAGTTTCAGGTGTACAATATAATGATTCAGCAATTGTATACCTTACTCAGTGCTTACCACAACTAGTGTACTCTTTTTTAAAGATATTTATTAATTTTTGAGATGAGAGAGAGAGAGAGAGCGCACTAGAAGGGTGGGTGGAGCGAGAAGGAGAGACAGGATCCCAAGCAGGCTCCAAGCTGTCAGCACGGAACCCAATGCGTGGCTCAAACTGACAAACCTTGAGATCATGACCTGAGCTGAGACCAAGAGTCAAATGCTTAGCCAGGTGCCTGCTGGTTAGTGTACTCTTAATCCCCTTCACCTGTTTGACCCATCCTCCCACCCACCTCCTCTTTGCCAAAAAGAATTTTCCTTTCAGTTACAAATCATTTCTGTTTTGAAACTTCAGACCTAGAGAGCAGACTCTTGAAAATTACTGGAAAATGATGGATAATCCGTTTCCTTGGGGATCTTTCTTTGTTTAGTCTAGGCTTCTTCACATGGCAGCTTTGTCTGTTGTTCTGCATAGTCACGAAGCCTAGAGACGACTTCTGATTAGAATGAGTACATTAAATCACTCAATAAGTCTGAACATTTATTACCTGCCAGCCTGTTCTGGGCCCTGGGGAAACTGCTCCAAACAGGACAAATCCCTGTCCAGCTTGACTACTTTAGCATTCAAGTTGGGGAGCAGGCAGGAAACAAAGAAGCAAATAAATAGATAATGTTAGTGCTAAGTGCAGTGAAGTAGAATAAAGCAAATCACTCTTAAGAATAATTTTGTAATTACATTAGACATCTGTGTGTCAATAGTTCCTTAAGGTTTAAAGTACTTTCATTACTGTTATTTAGTCCTCAATACATCCTGTGAGTAGATAGAGCTGATATTATAGCTATTTGCTACCTGAGTAAAGTGAGGCAAAAGAGGTTAACTGATTATCTAAAGCAAATTGGTAAATTTGCAACTGTGTTCTTTTCATTCCAGTGGTTATATCTCCAAGATATTCTTTTTTAAAGTAAAATTCGTGCTTTCATGAGAAACTTCGTGCACTATGATGATAAAGATAAAAATAAATCATATGCCATGCAAAACCTCTTTTGTTTTCTAGAGTAATGGAGGAATATGTTATACAATTAAATATGTATTAAATATGTAAATATTAAAGCCCAGAAATCACTGGTGTTAAGTAGTGATTCATAGGAGTCTCTGAAACTGGGGGTAAACATTAAGTCTTTCATTAGTAGATAGTAAATATTTGTTAATTGATAACCTTCTTGTGAAATACTGAAAATGAACACAACTATACTTGCCATTGGCCATGTGATCTCCTCAGCTACCTTCCCCCTACCTAAGTTGTCTTCAGGAGTCGAATAATGTAATAGATTTAGAAGATTTGAAGTTTCACTGAATGACTTCAGAAATTTTCCTTTTTCTTTTTCTTTTTGAAAACTTGAGATAAGCTGTTTTGACAAAAATCACAAGTTTTTTTAGGGCTAGCTCTTAATTTCTGTTTTTCACTTCCAGATCTGACATGATACCACTTGTCTGAAGATTCTGGCATTGTATGACCTGGCATGCTACTGAATTGATACTAGTAACTAAAGTTTCTTGTCTCGCAGTTCATTTTGAAAAAAAATTCTTCCAGTGTGTCTGTGGGTCATAATGAAAATATAGAAAGAACCCCCAAATTTATAATGTGAAATTTTACAGTAAGATAGAAATCAAGTTAAATTTTTGCTTTTATTTTAATGAAAATTAATGAAACTAATATTTATTTTTATATTTTAGAAGGAGGAAAGAGGACGATTGAAGTATCCATTCCAGGAGCAGAAGCCCCAGAAAGCTCAAAATGCAGTACTATCTCTCCTACCAGTGGGATAAATTCAAGAAGGTAGGGTTACAATGTGAATAGCTACTTAAAAAAATCAAGAAAGTGATTAAGTGTATTGTCTTTGGGGGAAAAAAGAAAGTGCATAGTATCTGACTTAGGTTCAGGCAGACTCACTCTTGTAGAGAAAATAAAGTAATGGGAGAAGAGAATTTCTGGGGGGGGGAAAGGAGTGAGGACGAGCTTTAAGTAGAGCAGTGTGGGTTGTTACTAAGAACAAAAATAGGATAGTAGCACATATATGGAGCTCTTGGTAGGTTACGAAATTAGGAGATCACATATGACAGGGTGAGTAACTGAACAGTAGTATTTTTCTCTTTTACAGTAAATGAAGCTGAAGCTCAGAGAGCTAGCTGATTGGGTGGTTTTTCTAGATGGGTCACGTGGTTGGTAAATGGTGGCACTGAGGATGGACCTGGCTCTTCTGTCAGCACTCTCTGTGCTTACCATGACGCTGTGCTGCTGATCCAAGGCTCGTTACTCTTCCACCCCCTGGCCTTTTCCCCCTCACCCCCACACATGCACATGCATTTTTCCCCTTTAATATTAAAAATGTTACAACATGATACTATCACAATGGATGCCCTCATTATACATTTGTCCAAACCCATAGAATGTATAACAAAAGCATGAACCCTAATTTAAGCTATGGATTTAATTAATAATAATGTACCAATAGTATCAGTTGTAATAAATGATGCAAATGATGCAATGTGTAGGGGAAACTGAGCAAGGGAGGTGAAGGGTATATTGGAACTCTCTGTTACACTTAATCTTTCTGTAAACCTAAAACTACCCTAAAAAAGAAAATCTATTATTTAAAAAAAAAAAAGACTTAGGTTGGTAAAAATGTTGTAAATAATTTGGATGTAACTCAGCCAATCTTTTTCAAACTCTTGCCAATCCTGAGATTTGTCATTCTTCTATAATTCAAGGTTAGTAATGATAGATCACTCTCCCACCCTCTTTTATTTCTCATTTCTCATAAATAGGTCTTCAGGGGCTACTAGTAATTCTTGTTCTCCATTAAACGCCACCTCAGGAAGTGGGCGATTCACTCCTGTTAATCCAAGAGCAAAGGTATGTGATAAAATGTAATTGTGAAATGTGTGTAAGGGTCAGGAGAGTGAGGGTGGAAGGTGGCCGATTTGGTGATTTCCATTATTAATGTGACATGAAATTCTCAGAAGAATTCCTAATTCACCTTTGCTAAAAAAAACGAAACAGCCATACAGTTTCTTTTGTGTTCTGGGGTAGCTAAGGAACAAGGTGAAATTCAGTAGGATTTCAACATAGACTGGAAATTACTGGTTTCAGGCAGAGCATTCCTACATGGCAGGACATACAGGCGTGCCTTGAAGTAGTAGGTATACTGAGATACTGGTTCCCTCAGTGCTTGCTGTGGCTGTGTGGGACTTGGGATAGACAGAGCCCTGGGGCCACTTTCCTTGTCCCTTTACCCCAGTGTGCTGTATCAGAGTGTGCCACTAGTTAGAGAGGTTACGGTGAATCAATGTTGTACATATTCCTCATGTGTTCTGCTTTGTTCTAGATTAGACCAAATAGTGAATGCTTCAGTAAACACTGAGTATTTATAGCCCAAATTAATCGATAGGCTCATATCCCAGTTGCCTAGCACTAGAAGATTTATCCTTTATTGTTTCCTATATCCTAAAAAAGTTATAAATTATTTTATTTAATTTGCCCTTAGTTTCTGGAATTTAGTAACAGATTTAGTTTACTAAGATCAAATACCTTTGTTATTTTAAGAAGTTGCACATACAAGTTGTATAAAACACTGGATTTATCCTTTATTTAAAAATTAGGTTCCCTCAATCAATAAGGGGATATGTTGACCAGGGAATCAGTTATTTGGGAATTTCTCTATTGGAGAATTAAAATTACCAGTAGCAATTTAATTTTCAGTACCATTTGATGGCATAGGATAACATGATTCTGTGTACTTGATCTAAATAATTGTAAACCTGGAATGGGCTCATGTTTCTGATTACTTTCTAAATCCTTTTTGCATCTTTGTTCAACAGATTGAGAAGCAAAACGAAGAAGGCTGGTTTGCTCTTTCTACCCACGTGTCATAAATGAAGTTAGTTGTACAGTTTGTTCTTGGTAGCATGTTCTTGAACTTCCACTCCCATATCCCTGCCCCTGCTTGCAAGTTTTCATGTCCCTTTAGATAAAACCTTCAAAGATCTTGTGACTTAGTACTTATGGAACAAAGAATAAAGCAATTATTTCAGTTTGGACCTCTGCAAATAAATTTCCAACAACTAACCAACGTACAACCTCCTTTGAATAAAATTTTGACTATAGGAGGGGCGCCTGGGTGGCGCAGTCGGTTAAGCGTCCGACTTCAGCCAGGTCACGATCTCGCGGTCCGTGAGTTCGAGCCCCGCGTCAGGCTCTGGGCTGATGGCTCAGAGCCTGGAGCCTGTTTCCGATTCTGTGTCTTCCTCTCTCTCTGCCCCTCCCCCGTTCATGCTCTGTCTCTCTCTGTCCCAAAAATAAATAAACGTTGAAAAAAAAATTAAAAAAAAAAAAAAATTTTTGACTATAGGAAAATTGAAGTTTTATATTCTGATATTTTCATAACTAAGGTTTTTCTAACACAGTTTTACCTTTATCATCTTTATTCAATAGTTTTTTTTCTTTTTGTCTTAGTATATCTTAAATGATGTATTTCTTTTATTTTTTTCTGAAGAACTAAGTTGCTTTGCATATAGCTTACAATAAAATGGGCTGCGGTAGTTAATGTCTGGCTTTCGGAAAAATTTAACACTCCCTTTGATCTCTTTTTGGGAGGGAAGTCACTGTTGTTCATCACTTTCCCATCAAGTGGAATGTACAGCTTTAAAAAATAGGTGTGGGAACATTTGCTTATATTTACTTACACAGGTAAGAGTGGTTGTACGTATTATAAAATTCTTATATAGCCTTCTAATGTGAAAATGTCATCAATAATGATAGTGCACATCAAATAGATAGTGATCACAGAGCTTATGTTGAAACAGAAATGAGTACAAAAAGTTGCAGTCAACTTTCCCAGCCCTGAATCTACTACACGTTCAAAGTAGTTTTCTTCAAGGCACCTGTTTGGCTCTCAGACACTGGTTTTTATTTTAAAATTACTTTTTAAGTTATTTCTGTCCTTTTGCTGCATGATGAGAATCCTCAGCTTGGAATGGTGGGAGTGGGGTTGGGGAAACACATTGGAACTACTTGGGGAACTTTTTCAGACAACGCTGTCCCTTGTCTTGCAGTTATAAACCACTGTTCTAGGAAGTGGCATATGGGCTTCATCATTATGGTGACAAAAATAAAAATTTTTTCTAGTATCACTGAATGTATTTTCATGAAGTCATCTGACCTCATTTGCATTATTGCAGATTCTTCCATCTGTATTGTACTTTTTGAAACCTGGTATTTAATAAGTACTATCCCTGCCTGGAATATAAAACCATTTTAGTACCATTCCTTCTGTTATTAAATGTCAAGTTATCTGCTTGGTTTGTGAATGAATTCTTTTTTTTTTCTTAATTTTTAAAAGTTTTTACTTAAATTCCACTTAGTTAACATGCAGCATATTATTAGTTTCAGGTGTACAATATAGTGATTGAACACTTCCATACAGCGCCCTGTGCTCATCACAGCGAGTGCACTCCTTAATCCCCATCCCTTATTTAACCCATCCCCACACCCACCTCCGTGCTGGTAACCATCAGTTTGTTCTCACTAGTAAGCAGTCTGTTTCTTGGTTTGCCTCTTTCTCTTTCTTTTTTGCCTTTGCTCGTTTGTTGTTTCTTAAATTCCACATATGAGTGAGATCATAAGGTATTTGTCTTTCTCAGACTGACTTATTTTGCTTAGCATCATACTCTCTAGTTCCATCCATGTCATTACAAATGGCAAGATTCCATGTGAAGGCTTTCTTTTGACATACATTTTTCTTTTTCTTTGCTTTTTTTTGTGTTTATTTATTTTTGAGAGAGAGAGAGTGTCAGCAGGGAGGGGCAGAGAGAGAGGGAGACACAGAATCCGAAGCAGGCTCCAGGCTCCAAGCTGTCAGCACAGAGCCCAACGCGGGGTTCGAACCCACAAACCATGAGATCATGACCTGAGCCAAAGTCGGACACTTAACTGACTGAGCCATCCAGGTGCCCCTGACATACATTTTTCTTAATATTCTTCAACTGGTTGGCTCTTTACTTTTTTCCTTTATAACTCTTTAAGCTTCAAAAGCCATGATTTTCAACTTGGGGAGCACTGAAAAAAGACCAAACTGACTACCTGGGGAGTGAGTCCTTGGCATGACATTTTAAAAAACTGCTTAAGATGATTTAATGTGCAGCCAGAGTTGAGAACCAGTGCTCACAAACCTCCACAGGTTTGTGGAGCTCACATTGAAGTATCTGTCCTGCTAATATTTGTTTTTGTTGATAAAATACAAAAGTAGATTGAAAATACTCCAATAATAACAGATACAGAGAAAAGAGCTTTATTAGGCTTTCTAAAGCAGTGCTTCTCAACTTTAGCCACCATTCATCACTGAGGAACCTTCTAAAATTCCCATTGCCCAACTCTCACTCCAGACCAGTTATACTCTGGGGGCAGGACACAAGCATCAGCATTTTGAGAAACCTCCTCAGATGAGTCCAGTGTATAGCCAAGCCTGGGAAACATTATAAAGATTTATCATCCCTAAATCATAAAGTGGTGCGTGTTTGGTTTTAATTAACACTACCTTGTGCCCTCTTTATTTTATTAGCTTTCAGAGCCAGCTGCATCTGTATGAACCCTGACCAGCACCATCAGTAGGATCACCAGGGGTACTTGTTAGAGATGAAAATTCCTGAGCCCTACCCCAGACCTATGGATCAGAAACTCTGTTTCTGTTTTAATAAGCCCCTCCTGTCATCCTGATGCATGCTCAAATTTGGGAACCATTGGATCTATGGCATCACAAAACGTGTACTCTGCTATATTTGATGATTTGTATTTACTTTTACAGTTCAAACTCAGAGAACTTGTATTGCTTATATATAGATTCATGTTTTTGGTCAACACATGACTTCTCTAGAATGCCCCAGAAAGCTGCTAAGCACTTGCTAAACTTTAGTAAAATTTTCCATTTTCCGTATTACAGCTCGGGAGAGAAACTAGATTGATAATCAAATCCACGGTTAATGATATAATCATTCCTATAGTATATAGTGGAATTCTTTAAGTTAGCAGAATTTAATAATAGTTTATGGTTTACTAAATGCCAGATAGTGTTTCAGCCACTCTTCATGATTTTATGACACCTTTATGAGGTAGATCCTATTATCCTTACTTTGCAGATGAAGAAACTGAGGTACGAGAAGGTAAGTACCCTCTCAAGGTCACACAGCTTGGGAATGGTGGCCCTGGGATGGGACATAGGAAGTCTTTCTACACAGCCTATGCCATGCTGCCATCTTACAGTGAATATGGTGTGGAAGCCCCATAATAGTAATAGCTATCTTTATAGAGTTGTAATTGTGGTGGGCACGGTGCTGAGCCAAAAGTAGCTCCATTATTTCAATAAAACTGTGAGTTAGAGGTGTTTGAATGCCACCCACCTCCCCATTCCAGATGAGGAAATTGAGCCCTAGAGGTGAAGTAAGTTGCCTAATGTCAGAATGTATGAGATAAAGCCACAACTTGAAGCTCTTTTGAAAAAAATTACTGGACTTCTCCTACTTAGGAGAAATAGCTAATCTAGCACAGTGGCTAAGTCTGCAAGTATTGCAAGCAGAAAGCTTGGATCCAAGTGCCATTTCTGCCAGTTGGGCTGTGTCCCTGGGTAAATTAATCTCATTTTTCCCATTTGAGAGTCAGACATGATATGTCTTCTAGGATTGTGAGGAGTAAGTGAGGTGAGTATATGTAAATATGTTAAGAACAGAGCCCGACTCACGATAAGCATTCAGTAATGATGACTGCCAGTTTTTTGGTATACAAAAAAATACACTATTTTCTCTGTGCTTCCAGATTTTTAAAGGTAGTAAATGGTGAATTTATAGTGGTTTTCTCAGATTAACAATTGGACCCAGTGCTTTAAATTTAGAGTTTATTTCACCTGAAAAGATATTTGGAAGTTGAAAGAAAACATGTTGAGAATTTTATTTGAAAATGTAACTAATAAGCTGTTTAATTTTTTCCTGTTTTCTGGCTTTCCAGACACCCTGCATATGCCATTTATAATTAACAGCAAAGATAATGATCCTTTTTTTTTTTTTTTTTTAAGTCAGGAGACTTTAAGTCAAGAATAATTGACTAAAGAAAACATTTCAATATTACCAACAAATGTTATAAAGGTCTTGGAAAATTGTTGTGTAACATTATGGAAAACAATAAACAAAAATAGAATATAGCCTTTTAAAATAAACTATTGAGAAATAATTTATATGCAATAAACTACATCCATTTAAAGAGAATAATTCATTGACTTTTGGCAGACAAAACAACCACAAGACACATTTCTTTCATGCCTAGAAGATTCCTCCTGTCTCTGCAGTGCGTCCCACCCTTTGCTCCAGCCTTGGGCAACCACTGATGTGTTTTTGTCATCATAGATTTGTTTACATTTTATCTAAGTGGAATCATAATTGCACTATTTTGTGTCTGGCTTCTTTCACTCACTATTGAGATTCATTCATGTGGGTGTCCATGTCTTCCTTTTTACTTCTGAGTAGTATTCCATTGTATGAATGTTTATCCATTCACCTGTCAATGGCCATTGGCTTTCTTTCCAATTTTTGGCTATTGTGAATATAGCTGCTATGGACATTTACATTCAAGGCTTTGTATGGACATAAATTTTTGTTTCCCTTGGGTAAATACCTTGGACATGGAATGGCTTGGTATATATTTAACTTTTAAAGAAACTACCTTACAGTTTTCCAAAGCGTTGTGCCTTATTACATTCCTACCAGCAGGGCATGAGAGTTACAGTATCTACACATCTCCCACGTTTGGTGCTGGCAGTTTTTGAATTTTTACCCATTCTGGTAGGTGTGTATATGCATTGTGGTGTGCATCTCCCTGAGGACTACTGTGAAGCATGTTACCATATGTTTACTGGCCTTTCATACCGCTGATACGATGAAGTAGTCAAAGTCCTTTGCCCATTTGAAAAATTAACTTGTCGGGTTTGTTTTCTTATTCAATTATAAGAATCCTTTATTCTGGATACAAAGTCCTTTGTCACTTATTGCAATATTGTAGCCGTTTTAATTAAATTCCAGTTAACACG